TACATACTGATGTATGTGGTCCCCTGAGTGTTAGGACCCGTAACCAACACGTGTATTTCATTACATTCACCGATGACTATTCTCGGTATGGTTATGTGTACCTAATGAGACATAAGTCTGAATCCTTTGAAAAGTTCAAAGAGTTCAGACAAGAGGTCAAGAAACAGTTAGGGAGAGAAATTAAGTCCCTTTGATCAGATCGAGGCGATGAATATCTCTTTGACAAATTTAGGGACTACTTAAAGGTAAATGGGATAGTATCACAGTTAGCTCCTCCTGCTACACCACAACTTAACGGTGTTTCAAAGAGGAGGAATAGGACCCTATTAGATATGGTCCGGTCACTTCTCATTCATTCAAAGTTACCCACATCCTTTTGCGGATACGCATTAGAGACTGCGATATACGTGCTGAACCAGGTTCCAACCAAATCGGTTCCTAAGACTCCCTATGAGCTTTGGACCAGAAAGAAACCAAGTGTACGACACTTGAAGATTTGGGGTTGTCCGGCTCACGTTAAAAGAACGAATCCAAACAAATTGGAATCCAAGACCAGCCATTRCCTATTCGTGGGCTACCCAAAGGGCTCAGTGGGCTACCTATTCTATGATCCAAGTGAGCAGAAGGTGTTCTGCAGTCGAAACGCACAATTCTTGGAAAATGACTACATCCTAGACAATCTTCATCAGGAAGTTGTTCTTGATGAGGAGATGTCAGATGCAGTGGGAGGTGTCCTACAAGTTCCAGGTAGTGGCCAACCTAGAAGATCTACCCGGGTATCCAGGCCACCGATCTGTTTTGGTTACGATCAGGATAGTTACCTGGTCGAAACCTTGAGTAGTGAAGAGGATCTCGTAACTTATATGGAAGCTATGTTGGACATAGACTCCCTTAAATGGGTAGCTACCATGAGAGCTGACATGTACTCAATGGAGACCAATGGAGTCTAGACTCTTGTGGATCCGCCCTCCGGGGTAAAAGCAATTGGATGCAAAAGGATCTACAAGAGGAAGAAGGGCCCCGATGGCAAGGTTGAGACCTACAAAGCTCGTCTAGTGGCGAAAGGATACACTCAGAAAGAAGGCATCGATTATGAGGAAACCTTTTCGCCCGAGGCCATGCTTAAATCCATTAGGATCCTACTAGCTGTAGCAGCTTACTATGACTAGAGATTTGGCAGATGGATGTCAAAACAACGTTCCTGAATGGAGATTTTACTGAAGATATCTATATGCAGCAACCACAAGGTTTTGTAGCTGTGGGTCAGGAACACATGGTCTGTAAGTTGAATAGATCCATATATGGGCTCAAGCAAGCTTCCAGAAGTTGGAACATCCGATTTGACTCTACGATCAAAAAGTTTGATTTTGAACAGAATCCGGATGAACCCTGCGCGTTTACAGGAAGACCAGTGGTGATGAGGTTACGTTTCTGGTTCTGAATGTAGATTACATTCTACTCATTGGGAATGATGTAGGAATGTTAAGTACGATAAAAGTATGGCTATCACAGCAATTCTCCATGAAAGACCTTGGAGAAGCCTCCTATATACTGGGTCTTCGACTCTATAGAGATAGATCGAAGCAGATAATAGGATTATCCCAATCTGCTTATATTGACAAAATAGTCAAGAGATACAGCATGGAAAACTCGAAGAAAGGAAATGTTCCTTTTAGGCATGGAGTCAATCTCTCCAAGAAGATGTCTCCAAAGACCTCTGAGGAGATCGAGAGCATGAAATACGTTCCCTATGCCTCAGCTGTAGGGAGCATCATGTATGCCATGCTGTGCACTCATCCTGACATTGCCCAGGAAGTGAGTGTAGTAAGCAGATTCCAGGCCAACCCAAGGTAGGAGCATTGGACTGCTGTGAAATGCATACTTAAGTCCCTTCGGAGGACAAAAGAGTTTTGTCTGGTATTCGATGGTAGTTCACTACAGATCCAAGGGTATATAGATGCGGATTTCCAATCGGATCCAGATGATAGAAAGTCTACATCTGGATAGGTTTTCAGGATAGGATCATGTGTTGTTTGCTGAAAAAGCAGCAAACAGGGGTCCACAGCAAACTCCACAACCGAGGCCGAATACATTGCTGCAAGTGAAGCTGCCAAGGAAGTCGTGTGGATGAAGAAGTTCATTCACGAATTGGGAGTAGTTTTGTCCAGCACATCACCCATCCCATTGTTGTGTGACAACAATGGAGCGATTGCTCAGGCTAAGGGGTTCCAACCCTAATTCTCGTGAATTCCTGGATGAAAACTTGTAGGCTAAGGAATGGCTCCAACACGTCAACAATGCGGTTGCAGATAATGCGGACCCGATTTTGACCTCGATGTAGTCCATATCTATCAAAACTCAAAACATGAAAGTTGTAAAACTTTTCCTTTTCTTTCCAACGCATCTTGAATCATCTAAGTCGAAGTCCGGATGAGAGCGTTATGCCCAAATTACGACGCAGTGCCGAAACTTTTCCAGAATTACCCGATTAGCCTTATTTTTCACTTAACGCCTCCTTTCGTGTCTTAAATGAAAATATAAGAATAATAAGTCCATTTAGGCACTAAATAAGTATAAAAGACTAAATATTAAGGGATAAAAATATGATAATTTTCATTCTCATAAAAAATCTTATCAATTTTTAATTTTCGTTCGAATGAAGTTTTTCTTATTGCTCTGTTTTCTAATATCTGAAATACTTTCGGTGCTTATCAAGTACTGGGTTCTCAGGGATTGCTTGTGAGACATTTGTTTATGCTTGATTCAAATATTTATGTGTCACTGTTTTTTTTTAATTGGGTTTTGATTACTTTTTAACTATAGGTTTTGGGGTAAAACTATGGGTTTGTTCTTTGTATAATCTGGTGCGTTTCTGTTTATATTCATTTTGGAGTACTGTTATGCTTTTTCTTCCTTCTTTCTTGCTTAATTTCTCGGAGCTGACAATGAGAAGTTTTATTGATTTACAGAGAGGAATGTAACAAGGATGTTCTTGTGGTGCTTATTGATATGCATAGTTGCAGCCTTGGTTATAGGATCAAGGTGAATTTGGGTATTTTCATAAACCTTTTGGTTTTCTGGCTGAATGCATGGATCATTTATAAGTCAGTTTATTTTCTTTCCTTGTTTGTAGCAATTTATGATTTTTAACAGGAAGAGAAAAGCAGTGTCATCAGAGCCAAAAACAAAGAAAAGTATAAAAGATAAAAAAGTGAAGGACCCAACAACCGCGTCCTGCAACTGCATTTTTCGTCTTCATGTAAAGCTGCCCCCCTTTCTGCAAGTCCATAATGCGTTTCTGATGTGATTTGTTACCTCTTATTGCAGGGAGAAATTTAGAAAAGCATACAAGGAAGAACATCCAGACAATAAGAATGTTTCAGTGGTATGACATGCCTGTGGTCTTAGTTTTGCCTATGCTTCGTGTTTGGTTACATTTACCTCAGCTTGCTGGCAACTTATTTTAAACTTCTGATGCAAAAAAAAAAAAAAAAATGAGAAGATTTCCAAAGAAGCTGGAGAGAAGTGGAAGTCCATGTCAGATGAAGTGAGCGAATCAATCCCTTCTACTTGTTTTTTAATCAATTCTTATTATGTTTTTCCTTAAATGCTGCTTCGATTAATTTGATGTTTGTTCTACCAGGAGAAGAAGCTTTATTTGGATAGAGTTGCAGAGCTCAAGGCAGAGTATGAGAAGGCTATGGAAACTTACAATGCTGGGAAAGAGAAGGCATATCTCTTTTTGAGAATTTCCCTGATTTATTTATGAATTAACTACTTTTTATTTTGATTTTATTGATATTACATGCTTGAATTTTTCTTATTTTAATTGTTTCACTGTATTAGGATCAAGAGGGTTCAGAGAAGGAAGAGTAAGAGTAGCTTGCATAGGAATCATAGTAACCATTTTGATTACTTGGTAACTTTGCTGACTGCCCTTTGTAAATGCTTGACCCAGTTGTGATCATTGAATTTTGTTAATGGAATCTATTTCATAATATCAATTCAGTCAGTTTGAATTCAAAATTCTGCTGCGTGTTTGATTTTTTTTAACCTTTCAAAAGTAAAGCTTTCATGGCCCTATTTACTATCATTGCAATGTACAATCAAGTACTAAGACATGGAATTCTTGTTCTTGTGCCAAGGCCGGGATAGCATTCACTGCAAATTAATTCAATCACTAGAATCTAACTTCTGTGTATTTTCTAAACCTGGTTCCTTGAAGAATGCAGTATAGATGGAAGTGTATTCAGGAAGAAGAAATTGAGTTTCAATTGTTGATAAAATAGAAACAATGTATTAGTTCAATCTGAGAATTCTAGTGGGGAATGAAAAGAGCCTACTGCTAGCTGAGCCAGCTTCTTACTGACCCAAATTCTGTAGATTTCCTCTCTTGCAAGGTGGCATGGGCTTGCCACATAAACACAGGTTGTGCGCATAATCTGCTACAGGGAAGATATTGAATGGTTTCCCTTGCGGGATCTCTCCACACAATCTGTTTGCCCTGAAATTTACATGCCTGAGGCTTTGCAAACCTAGCAAAGTATCTGGGATGTTGCCAGTGAATGCATTGATGGACAAGTCGAGCCATTGTAGCCTCAGTAACTGCCCTAAGCTTGTGGGTATGGTGCCCTCAATCTGGTTTCTTGAAACGTCCAACCTTTCAAGTTCAAGCAGGTTTGAGATTGAACCTGGGATTTGACCTGTAATTTTGTTGCTTGCCAAGTTTAGCAGTTTCAGCCCTGAACCTTCACTGAACTCTGGAATCTTACCTGTAATTTGGTTGTTTGAGATGTCCACGTACTCTAAAAATCCGCTTGTGTTATTGCGCAATAGCTTTGACATTGATCCTTTAAGCTGATTCGAATGGAGGTCAAGAAAGGAAAGCCCATCTGGTATTGCAATCTCTGAAGTATCTGATTGTAGCTGGTTGTTTGAGAGCTTAATCTTCTGCAAACCTGACATATTTGTGAAAAAATTGGAAAACCCGCCTTCAAGAAAGTTGTCAGAGAGGTCAATGGAGTTCAAAGAATCTCTTTGTGCAAAGTTTGGTAGGGTTCCTCTGAGGTTACAGCCTGCAAGGTGCACGTCTCTAAGTGCTCTGTTTGTGATCCAATCAGGAACATTCTCTAAATGAATGTTGTTGTAGGACAGGTCTATAGACAGCAGAGAGGGGATGCCATTTGTAAGGGCTGGCAAAGGATCTGAAAGAGCATTTCTAGATAGATTAAGGTACCAAAGGTTATGTAGCCTTGCAATGGATACTGGTATTTGACCCGAAAGACCATTAGCACTCAGCGAAAGGCTGGTAAGTCCTTTCAAGTTCCCAATGTAGTCAGGGATTCTTCCTGTAAGTTGGTTATGGTTCAAAGAGAGGTCCAGAAGATTGTCCAAGTTACACAGGGAACTGGGTATCTGACCTGAGAACTGGTTGTTGGAGAAGTCGATATAAGTCAGGTTCTGAAACTGTCCTATAAAATCTGGGATAGACCCAGATAAATTGTTGTAGCTAAGATCAAAATACTGCAAATAATAAAGGTTTCTGAAGGTGAGTGGGATTGACCCTGTAAGGGAATTCTTGGCCAAGTTCATCTGAACAAGGTTACTGAAGTTTCCTAAACCTGGAGGAATCTGTCCATTCAAATGGTTGCTACCAAGTGACAAAATTTTGAGCAGAGGCAACTGACCAAGAAAAGAAGGTATAGACCCTTCAAGGGCGTTGTATTCAAGGACAAATTGGGTGAGATGGATAAGCTTTGAGAAGCTCTCTGGAATGGAGCCTCCTATTCGTTTCATCCCACTTATCACCATCACCTCCAGAAACTGGAGATCAGCCAGGGAAGGAGATAGAATTCCCTTCATGTAAATGTCAGTGTCTCTATCTGAGGGCCTCTGCAACTGCAATGCGATCACTCTTCCTGCTGGGTTACATTGAACACCTTCCCAATTTCCACAGCAATCCTTCCCAATCCATGATGACAGAATATCTGTTGTGTCCTTCAAAATTCTAGCTTTGAATCCAATAAGGGCAACTCTATCTGTTTCCGAGCAAACTATTGTTTGTGATCCTGTTTGAGCTAGGGTTTCTGAAAGAACAGTGCAGAATGAAAAAGTGAAGAGAAGACTGAAAACCCATCTCTGTATCTGCATTTTGGGAGGTGGGCTTTGATCGGTTTGAGTGGATTGCTGGTAAACGTACGAGATTTCTTTTTGGCGTGGGAGTTGGGTTTTGTCCAGTGAGAACTGCGCTGGATTTTTTTCAAGGAACAAAAGGGAGGAAAAGAAAAGCTCAAAAGCCGATTATGAGTTTGGTTCCTTCGAGTATGGTGGAAGGTATAATGATGAAAATCCAGCAAACAAAAGGTTGGATAATTATAATTTGGTTGGAGGCTTGAACAAAGTAAGAAATGTTGACTGTTGAGTTATGCCCTTTTTTTTTTTCTTTTCAATTCTTTTAATTTCGTGACCGTTTGATAAATTATCACGAGGATTCCGATTCTTTATGAAACGTTTGCACGGTTGGAGCGCTTCAGATTCAAACTTCATTCATTCAAAATCTCAATGAAGTTCACTGCTTTTATTTCACTCCTGAAATCATTTCTCCACGTAAAACTGGGAGGAGGAGGAAGGAAAAGTGAAACAGTTGATGTAAAGGCTGACAAGATGCAGCTTTTCCATTTGATCAATTTTAGATGGATAAACCAGTTTTTTCCTTTTTTCCAAGATTTATTTTTTTAAATCCTGAAGCAGTAAATCCGTAAAGTGAAGTGTGGGCAAACAGTTCAGCTGTATATGCAATGCACCAGAGACCGTGGTTGCATGTTTGTTTGCTCAAAATGCTCACGTCCCCTTCTTTTTTTTTAAAAAAAAAAAAAATCTGAACTGGTGATGCTAGTCCTTGGAGAGTTGAAAATTACCCCTCTCCAGCAGACAAATCCAGACTCCTGTCATCATCCATTTTAATTAGTTTCTTAATGGAAAGGTTTATGAACAAAAGCTAGAAAGGCACATCTCCAGAAGTGGAGCCTAAGATTTCTGTTTTCTGTGTTGATGGGATGGGCCACACTCCTGCCACACCATTGCCATATTTTGTTCCAACTGTCCAGCCGGCTTGGCCAGAATGTCGGCCACAAAATATGTATGGGTGTGTTACAATCAAAATCAACTGACTTTGGGAAGCATCAGCTATTCTCAGATATTCAGCTTGTGGGCTGTGGAATTGGGCCTTCCCCAATTCTGCAGACTACAGACAAAAGTTAGGAAAAAAAAAAGAAAATTACAGGATGCTTGCAGATTGATCGATACAAAATTGTAAGAGATTTTTTTTTACCTAAAACGTTTTGAATAGAATAAAATTGCTGTTTCTACATGAAATATCAAAATTTCTACTATAAATGTCAATAATTAGTCTCACACAATCAATTTTCTAGTTGAAGTAGGGATGGCAATTTCTACCCTATCCGATGGGTACCCACCCCTACCCTATCCGATGGGGCGGGTTTTTTTTGCTTGAAGGACGGGTTTTAGGATTATATAACCCATATGGGTACAGGTAGGGTTTGGTATTAAGCTAAACCCGACCCTCCCCGACTCGCATATTGTTGAAAAGCATATAAACTTTATATACCAAGTGTTAAATTTAATTATATTTTTAATTTTATGTGAAATATAATTGATAGTTCATGTATTTTCTACATGTCTTAATCAAATAATTGAAAATTTTGTTGTTTATTTTTGTTATTTTACTTATTTATTGCTTGTATATGTCAAGAAATAATAAGAAATTAGATACGGGTTACCCTTGAATGTGGGGAGGGTAAGGTCGGAGAAGGTTTTGCGTTTTCTTGTGCGTGTAGAGTTTGAATTCTCAAAATCCAACCCCCTACAGGTTTTGGGGCAGGTACGGGCTGGAAGATTTAGGAAGACAAATAAGATTTAGAATTTTCAAAATCCTTCCCGAACCCGGCCTATTGCCATTCCTAAGTTGAAATAAATCTCACATATGATGTAACAATACATATTTCTAACCAATTTATATTGATGAACCCATAATGTTTCAGGTAGATAGTGGTACCAAAATACAACCCCAACAAACATATCCTAATAAGCGCTCCCCTTGCTTTCCAATTTCCTTTTCTTCGCATGACAATAGATATCGCTGTGTGAGCATAGACAATTTGCTGTGAACCACAGAAGTCTATTTTGTGGTGTTGTTTGTTATTTGTTTCTATTCTTTAATGTGGTTTGTCCAGTCTCACTCGGACAAACATGGTCATTGATGAGACCTGAACCCAAACTGCACAATTATGGTTTTTTGTCAATGATCTGCTCTCCCTCTCTGACAAGCATAAAAACCAACGAGAGGCCAGCCTTATCATTCTTGTGATACAATCAAAGATCTTTGGGAGAATGACCGATCAGCCCAGGGTCAGAATTTGTAGGCTTAAAGTACTGTTGGGGTAGGTGACAGCTTGAAATTGATACTAATTCACGGGCGAACAAAGGTGCATAGAATGTGAGTTGTGGCCTTTTTGAATCTTTATAGCTCTGCAGTGTAAATCAGGAATTTGCATTGGGCAAATTCGTACTTCTCCGAACATCTTTCTTTTCTTTTCTTTTAGAAAGGTTATAGAGGATGATAGGTCCAAAATTAATATTGATCTAGATTATATATTATATCGAATTTTCTAAGGAGTTATATGTTGCATGGGTGGAATACTTTGATGGGTGTCAGCCGATATGAATCAATACTTGCTTCCTTAGTGAGAAAATTGAACAAAACAAGGAAAATTTAATTAATCATTAAAATTAACATTTATTTTAAATATGGATAAGATTTTTATTGGTTTCCTAATTATATACATGTATACTTTTGATGTCACGCAATCTGAACGCTCCCTCGTGTACTGTGACTCGGGCTCTGACTGGATGTCAATCTGGCTGGGCAAAGCTGTGTGGCTAAGCTGATGTCTGGATGTCCAAGCTAAAGTAAGCTGCAAGGGAAGAAAGGTGAGAGTGCCCAAGTAGTTTTTCACTCGAGAGGGCACTCCGATGCTTAAGTCAGTAGGTGGATAGAGATTTCTCTAAGAGTGTAAGAGAGCTTAAGAGTACTAGTGAGCGTATCTCCCCAGGTGAATTCGAGCTCCTTTTATAGTCATCAAGGGCTCAGGGTGCTTTGGTAACGCTCCCTCGGTTACGAGATCTGCGCGACGGTTATAGTTTGTTTGCTTAGATTGTGGTGCACGGTATGGTGAGCTGCTCCAACGGTTGCGATATTGGCACCCTCGGTAGCGGGGTGGGGGAGCGGTTAGACAAGCTCACCTTCGTAGGTCGCCTCAGCTTGGCTGACTTCTTGGCCAGGTCGCCCGCAACCATAGGGGCTCTGCCAGCTTGCCCTTGCCGAGGTCAAGATCGGTTTGTGCGAGGAGCTCTGAGCAAACTTGCTGAGTTGGTCTGCTGACTTGGCATTGTGTTGCCGATAATGGCCACGTGTTGTCATTTTTTTGGGAGGACCAAATTACCCCTCATCAATTGCCCCCCACTCCCGAGCCATTGTCAGTTCGGTGAAGAGAGTAGGTCCTTCTAGGGTGTTTGGTCCGATTGTTGGACAGTTTTGTATGCCCTTAGCTTCAATCAAAATGATGTACATTATGAGTCTATTGTAAATGAATAAAAGTACTTATTTGATTCATGTTCCCTTGGTATGTTTATGTGTAATACCCTTAAACTGGACACTTAATGAGACTYGTGTTAGTTTAGAATGTTCACAGCCGGTGGGTCGGTCTGGAAAGTTACACCCGACCCCTAGACTCGATTATGATACTGCACTAGGTGTCGGATTGGGCTGTCTTTGATGTACCAATCAATGAGATCCTTAGCGGGGGTCAAAACCTGGGTATGTTGGGACAGTCTGAGAAYTCATCTGAGTGGGTGATCATAGTGACAGGATCAACCCCTTTGACGGACAAAGGTAATGATCGGGGATGCACACTCTCTGATGGAAACCAAGACTGCCGGCAGCCGATTTCAATCGTTGAGATTTGTTTTGCAAAATATATTTTATATGAGATATAAAAGTATATACATTATGGTTTCTAAAATGTTTGCAAAAGGTTTTAATTCCCGGGATCCATATAAGTAGAGAGTGCAACACTGTTCCTTGCAGCCGAGGGAGAGGTCCTCTCTTGTCGGGCAGTGTTTGATCATTATGGGCTGAGAGGTTGAGTGTAAGACCATTGAGGATAATACCTGATGGGCTAATCTTGCATCTGCCCACAGTCCCTAGGTGTTACAAGGTGGCTTGGCCCAACGACCACTTAGGGTAAGTGTTGGGCCCATAGAGCCCATTTGATGGGTTTCAGGGGGTGCACTGTCCATAACAGTGTATTCGGCCAAGCTTTGTAACAAAGGCTAGGCTGAACCCATGTGGCTGATATGTAGATCAATGTTTGGGTCCCACGCCACACAAGGAAGCCCAACTGGGCAACAGTTAGGAAGGCTAAGTGAGCACTGAACCTTAATGGGCCTAAAGCCCATTTCGAACTAGGCTATTTAATTAGTTAAATATGGGGCAAATTTTGAGATGGATTAGTAGATAGGATAGGGTCTTAACCCTATCCACTCAGAGAGTCCAGATCTAAATGTGATTTGGATCTGGAAACGTCCTAATAAGATTAGGAGAAGGCTGATCCAATCTGCAGATAAGATAAGGGTTTATTCTTATCACCTAAAGGGATGTTTGATCCAAATATGATTTGGATCAGCAACTCTTAATTGGATTAGGAGCTAATCCTTTAGGGTTACAAAAGAAGGAAGGGGCGGCAGCCTTTAGAAGACAGATATTCACATCCTCTTTAGTGCTGAAATCACAGAAGAAACAATCAAGCAACCCTGCAGAATTCTTTCTTGCCGCCTCCTTCTTGTTGCCGCCTACCTTGCCAGTTTGATCTCCAGTTCAGTGGGAGAAGTCAAGATTTGATCTTGATATCAGTTTTTTGTGAAAGAACAGATAGGAAGCTGTGCTCACGTGCCATCCTGCTATTTCTTGCAAAGGACTAGGTTCTTGGAGAAGAACTCTGATGATTCTGCTCCATCCTGCACTGCGCCATCTTCAGTGGGAGCAGTCTTTGGATCCTTCCTTGGGYGTGAACACCTYYRTTGGGAGATATTATTTCTCCGTATCAGGTATAATTCTCTTCTACTGCTTTTGTTCAGATCTGGTTCAGTTTATGGTTCAAGATTGATCCTTGAAAATATGATTTTCTAAATAGGGAATTCGATTCCCAGTTGAAAGGGAGAAAAATTTTTGAAATTCGCCCACCTTATTCCACAAGATTTGGGCATCCATACGATGGATCTCTCATCCCTTCACCGATTGCCTCGCGGGTGGCCTAACTCGCCCGAGTTCGGTTCGTCCTACTTGAGTTGGGCATCCGAAAAGTTTGAATCTTGAAAAAGAGGGGGGAAAGACTGGCACACGTGTGGAGGAGCCTTTTGGTGGG